GTGCATTTCGGTGCATTTTTGGTGTTTTCCCAGTGCATTCTGCTGCATTTGTTATGCGTATTACCGCATGCCAGTACAGTTCTGTACAGGAAAAAATGCAGCTCTGCATCCGGAACGCACTGGAACTGCAAGCACTGATTTGAACTATTACATTGACAACCATATAACCTATTTTCTGTGTGTTTTGGATGCAGAAAAAAAAGCACACTTAAACACATGTAGTGTGAACCTGCCCTTAAATCTTATTTAATAAATACATAAGCACATATGGCAGCGTATCAGCAGCGCATGAGTAGTCAGACTGTATTTTCATAATATTTACTATGGCAATGTGATGCGCACGCACGCACGCACGCACACAAGCACACACGCACACACACTGCACTCTAGCATTATAATATATGCCAACAAGGTAGGTTTTGTGCCCTAAGTAAAAGTGTGCTTTTTATTGCTGTTAGCAATTTCACATGTGCATTTCATGCAAGAACAAAAATGCAGAAAGTGCATAATGCCATCATTAGTGGAGTCGTAATAATACATTCAAAGTAAAAAAAATAGTGTGTGCTGTGCTGGGGGTATCACAATGAACGGGGGCAGATATTCAAGTTGTAATCATGGCAAGTGAATATACATGACATGATTTAATGCACATCTGCATGACAGAAACACCCGCATGCACACACAGTCTGGTTTTACCCTGACAGCACAACATTCAGGTATTTTGAACCTGCTGCAATCCACTCCTTAGTGCCCGGTCACACCGGTGAGATTTCAGCTGTGATTTGCGAATTGAAATTACACCTGCAATCGCATTTAGTGAATGTGAATGTCAGTGTCTTAATGTGCGATTTTCTGCAGCTCGATTTCTAAAGTAGTTCTTGCATTACTTTTTCTGCAGTTTGTTGGGGTTTCACATATATAGAATATAATGGAAATTGCACTGCAAATTGCAAGAAATTTTAAAAATCTTCATGAGTAGCAATAAGTCTTCAGAAAATCACACCTGAAATTGTGTTGAAATTGCACACAAATCACACGCTTTTAAATTGCAGTGGTGTGACCGGTGGCTAAATGAGAAATTGTGGTGCTGGTCACGTTATTATTATCCTTTTTTATTTCCTGTTGACTTCCTGCACTTGTAGGAACTGAGAGCACAAAAGCATCATTATTTGGATGTTCAATGCACTCTGCCACACTATGATTGCACTCTGCCACATTACGATTGCACTCTGCCACATTACGATTGCACTCTGCCACATTAGGACCATGCTACGATTGGTTAAATAGTTCACATTCACTATGCTTGCCTACATCCACAAGTCTGATCTTTTTCTTTTTTCGTGTCGGTGGTCCAAAGAGTGACATATTATATGTATCTATATATCTATGATGTCAAATCTTGGAAGAAAAATATCTTTCTTTATCTAGAGTTTAGACATCTAGGCTGGTGATAGTGACCATTCAATAAAAATGACACAGCATAATGTTAAGATAGGATGCCATCTACTGGCAGAATGTGCCACACCTTTTACATTGCATTGAAAGTTTGCATAATTAACCACTTGCCCACCTGAGGATTTACCCTCCTTCCTGACCAGGCCTCTTTTTGCTATTCGGCACTGCACTATTTCAACTGATAATTGCGCAGTCATGCAACGCTGTACCCACACACGAAATTTGGGCCCTTTTTTTTACACAAATAGAACTTTCTTTTGGTGGTATTTGATCACCTGTGCGCTTTTAATTTTTTTGCTATGAACAAAAAAGGACCAAAAATTTTGAAGAAAAACGATATTTTTTACTTTCGGCTATAAAAAATATATAGTAAACTCAAAGTTAGTAATAAATTTAGGTCAAAATGTATTCTGCTACATGTTTCTGGTGTAAAAAAATCCCAACAAGTGTATATTGATTGCTGTGAAAGTTATAGCATCTACAAACTATAGTATAGATACTGCAATTTACGCCGTTTTGTTGCTATACAGCTCTGCACTAGTTTAACTGACAATTGTGCGGTAATGCAATATGGTACGTAAATTAAATTTACGGCCTTTTTTTCACACAAATAGAGCTTTCTTTCGGTGGTATTTGATCACCTGTGCGTATTTGGTATTTGATTTTTGGCACTATAAACAAAAAAGTTTTGAAAAAAAAAACGGTATTTTCTCATTTCTGTCATAAACATATCCAAAAAATCTCAAATTTTGGCATACATTTAGGCCAAAATGTATTCTGCTACATGTTTTTGGTTAAAAAAATCCCAATAAATATATATTGATTGCTTTGTGTGAAGGTTATAGCGTCTACAAACTATGGTATAGATAATGGAATTTACACAGCTTTTACTTTCTGATTACCTATAACATTTCTTGAGGTGCTAAAATACCAGGACAGTACAAACACCCTCAAATGACCCCTTTTCAGAAGTAGACACTTTTTTTCCACAAGTTTTTGGAAAATGACAAAAACATTTTTTTTTTACACAAAGTTGTCATTTAAATTATATATTTCTCACACAAACCATGGGAATATGTGGAACTACACCCCAAAATACATTCTGCTACTTCTACCGAGTATGGGGATACCACATGTATGATACTTTTTGGAAGCCTAGCCACATACAGGAGCCTGAAATCTAATGACCACTTTGAAAGCCTGAAGGTGTGTAACTTCCTCATTTCACTTCCTCACTACCTATCACAGTTTTGGAGGCTCTGAAATGCCAAAATAGCACCAACCCCCCCCCCCCCCCCCCATGACCCCTTTTTGGAAAGTAGACACCTCAAGGAATTTAAGAAGAGGCATGGTGAGTATTTTGCAGATCTTATTTTTACTCACAAGGTTTTGAAATATAAAAAAAGAAAAGAAAAAATATGTTGTTTTTGTTTTGTTTCTTCATTTTACAAAAACTTGTGGCAACAAACGAGAACTGCAAAATACTGATAGGTAGTCAGGAAGTGTAATGAGGAAATAAAGCCCTTTAAAAGCCTGAAGGTGCTTATTGGGTTTTGGGGTCCTGTACTTGGCTAGACTGCCAAAAACGTCTCTCACATGTGGTACCTCCATACTCGGTAAGTAGCAGAATGTATTTTGGGGAGTAATTCCACATATACCCATGGCATGTGTGAGCAATAAATAATTTAAGTGACAATTTTGTGTAAAAAAAATTATACTTTTTTTTTGTCATTTTCCAAAAACTTGTGGTAAAAAAATAAGTTCTTCTATTGACTCAATATGCCTCTCAGCAAATAGTTTGGGGTGTCTACTTTCCAAAAAGGGGTCATTTTGGGGGGTGGGGGCATGTTATGCCCAGCATTAGAAGGTTATGTCACACAAGATTCACTTCTGACTACCTGAAGACCAAGCCTTTTCTGACACTTTTTGTTCACATGAAAAAAAATCAGTATTTTTTACTAGGAAATTACTTTGAACCCCAAAACATTATATTTTTTTAAAGCAGACACCCTAGTGAATAAAATGGTGGGTGCTGCAATTTTTTATGTCACATAGTACTTGCGCAGCGATTTTTCAAATGCAAATGTTTTGAAAAAAATACACTTTTTTTTTACTTTTAATGCACAAAAACACAATATATTGGCCAATTATTTTGGTAAAATATAAAAGATGATGGTATGTCAAGTAAATAGATACCAAACATAACATGCTTTAAAACTGCGCATGCCCTGTGCAATGGCGACAAACTGTATACATTTTTAATATCCTTTACAAGCTACTATTTTCGATTTACAGAGGAGGTCTAGTGTTAGAACAGGGGCGGACTGACAACTCATGGGGCCCCCGGGCAATAGGGGATCATAGGGCCCCTGTGTCCTTGCCCACACTCAAAAAAGCCTATAAAAAAGGTACCAGGGGCATTTCATGGGGGCCCCTACTGACCTCAGGCCCTCGGGCAGTGCCCGAGTGCTCAAATGGTCAGTCCACCCCTGTGTTAGAATCACTGCCATTGCTCTAACATTTGCGGTGATACCTCACATGCATGGTGCAACCGCTGTTTACATACTGGCATGGGGTCAACGTGGCGAGCGCGGGGGGCAAAGGGTGTTTTTTTTTTGTTTTTTTTTTACGTAATTTTGATTTTTTTTAATAATTTTTACACTGTTCCTTTCATTTTTTTTTCATCACTTTTAATGCTATCACAGAGAATGCAAATATCCCCTATAACTTCAATGGGCATTGTCATATATTCTTTTTTGAGAAATCTGGGGTCTATCAGACTCTAGATATCTCCTCAGCCCTTAAATTATCTAATCTCACCAAGATGGGTGTGATCAGATGCTTTCCAAATTTGCAAACGGCGCTGTTTTATATCCTGCAAAACTGTGATGAAATGTTTGTAGCTTCCGATTTCTTAGACTACAGAGATGATTGGCACCATTCTGGTCTCCAATCAGCTCTATGGTCAGCTGGCAGAAACACTGGTTGCCCTGATGGCACGGGACTGCCCGAGAAGGCCGTGGAAAGCATCGGGGAAGGGGGGACATCGTCTCTCGCTGCTTTTAAAAGCAATCCTGCAGCTAATTAGCCACTAGGATTGCTTTTATATGAAAGCTGATCGCCGGCTGAAAAAAACAATACCAGGATGATGCCTGCAGCTGTAGGCATCATCCTGGTATAACCATTCAAAGTCTAGTGATGTACCAATACGTCGCTGGTTCTTGTTGGATATATATGCTATGTTCTTTTTTTTTTTTTTTTTGTATGCAGCCTGTGGGCTGAATGAAAAAAAGAGATGAAATCTCTGCCAGAAAAAGTGTGTGGTATGCCCACCATTAGAATATACCGCCCTGCATCCACCCACTAATGGTGGGCACACATTAGGTCGCACGGTGCCAAATGTGGCAATTCCAAAATTGTACAAATGTCTAAATAGTGGCATACTTGAATAAAAATTGTCCATGTATAAGTAGTACCCCATATAGTACCCCATATGGAAAAAGGGAAGACACCAAGTCCCAAACTATCCTGCCACTGCTCCCCATGTGGTCTGGGCATCTGGGGGACTCCATGTGATCTTTTCCCTCGTAAATCCGAAACTTATATGTATAGCTTATTGCCCTCTCACAGGTCTTATACATCTTGACCCCATATCTGGCACGCTTGCTGGGAAAAAATAGTTTGAATGCAAGGCGGCCACAAAAATTAATGAGGGACTCATTAACGCAGATTTTTTTGCTGGGGAGTATAGATTTTTGGTTAAGGTGATTTACGAGGGGCTGAATTTTGTGGAGCTGGTCAAATTCAGGGTCACCCCGAGGACAACAGAGTGTATTGTCGTTGAAATTGTCATTGAAATGCATAAAACACATTATACTCTCATATCTATGCCTGGCCATGGCGGCAGAGAACACGAGCATATGATTAATCGGGTATGTGGACCAATATAACCACAATTCATTTTTTTAGTAATGCCCATGTTGAGGGTTAGGCCCCAAAAAAAATTTAAAACTGTATTGGGTTTCCATGCGAATGGTCTGGCAAGGTTTGAATTTGGGTTGGCGGCAATAAATTGTTGTGCATATAAATTGCTTTGATCCACAATCAATGCATACAGATCGTCCGTGAAAAACGGCTACAAAAAATCAGGGGGAGTAGTTACATTTTCTGTTTCCACCTGAATTCCGGGTTGGGCAGTGAATGGGGGAAGTATGGGTGCTGCAGAATTTGTGGGCTGCCAATCGGGATTTGCAAGTACATCCGGAAGGATACTAGGGGCTCTATGGGCCTGTGTGCGAATTATTGGTGGCTGCGGGAGCATCAGCCTGTACTGCACTTATGGGACTCGCCACGTCACCAAGTGATACTGCAGTGCTGGTATGTGAAAGACCAGGATGTACTAGGCCGCTGGTGCTCGCCAGTTCACCAAAAGGTAGAGTGGCAATAGTACTGGCACTCAAGTGCTAGCAGAGATCAGGCCTGATTCTGCAAACACTGCGGTTTTGTGTGCAATGTATCAAGTGACAGTGACCTACTGACACTGCATTTGCTGGGGGAGAAGGGGTGGGGTAAGCGTAGGGGCTAAACGCAGGTCCTGGCAGGTGCCGGGGCTGATCCCACTAAAGCTGTGTTTATGGGGACACTATACTAATGTGAACGCTGGTATAGTGCTGATCTGATCAAAGATATTGAACAGTTCAGACCCTATACTAGCAATGGAGGTTTATTGTGTATGAGCGTGTTCCTGGCAGTCAAGGAGTTAAATGTGAATACTGGTGTACTGACAGGCAATCTGACACTATCTGGGAAGGGAGTGAAAACCACGGGAGCGTGAATCACGTACAGTCAGGTCCATAAATATTGGGACATCGACACAATTCTAACATTTTTGGCTCTATACACCACCACAATGGATTTGAAATGAAAGGAACAAGATGTGCTTTAACTGCAGTCTGTGAGCTTAAATTTGAGGGTATTTACATCCAAATCAGGTGAACGGTGTAGGAATTACAACAGTTTGCATATCTGCCTCCCACTTGTTAAAGGACCAAAAGTAATGGGACAGAATAATAATCATAAATCAAACTTTCACTTTTTAATACTTGGTTGCAAATCCTTTGCAGTCAATTACAGCCTGAAGTGTGGAATACATAGACATCACCAGACGCTGGGTTTCATCCCTGGTGATGCTCTGCCAGGCCTCTACTGCAACTGTCTTCAGTTCCTGCTTGTTCTTGGGGCATTTTCCCTTCAGTTTTGTGTTCAGCAAGTGAAATGCATGCTCAATCAGATTCAGGTCAGGTGATGGACTTGGCCATTGCATAACATTCCACATATGCAAACTGTTGTAATTCTGTATATATGCAAGATTTTTGCACCCGTGTTGCCCTGTAGCAGTATTTCTGCTATAGGGCGGTCAGGAAGCAGTTTGCATTATGGTACTGCATTACTTTAACGGACAATTGCGCAGTCATGCAACACTGTAAAAAAATTAAAAAAAAATCAAATGTCGTCATAAATTTAGGCCAAAATGTATTCTGCATTATGTCTTTGCTAAAAAAAATCCCAATACATGTATATTAATTGGTTTACGGGAAAGTTATAGCGTCTACAAATGGCGGTATAGATACTGTATTTTTAAATTTTTTTTTTTAATACTAATAATGGTGGCGATCAGCGACTTGCGGCGGCGATCAGCGACTTATAGCGGGACTGCAGCAGGCATTCTGACACGGGGGGGAACTGACTTGGTGTCACTGACATCCCCAGTGACACCAATACAGTGATCAGTGCTAAAAAAAAAGCACTGACACTGTACTAATAGCACTGGGCAGGAATGGGTTAACAGGAGGGGCAATCAAAGGGTTAACTGTGTGATGGGAGTGTTTTACTAGGGGGCAGGGGGAGGTGAGCTTCACTGTAAGCACACTGCTCTGGATGGCTCTGCTCAGCCATCCAGAGCAGTGTGCCCAAACTGACAGGGAGGAGGGCTATTGGTAAACAATGCAGCCCTCCTCCCTGTCGGTGATTGCCATAATCACCGGGCGCCGGCAGGTAATCACTGATCTGGGACCCGGTGATTGACACCCGGGACCGCGATCGGAAATTGCTATCTGAAATGCAGAATCATGTATATATACGTGATTCTGTGCACAGGGTCCGCCCTGTAGCAGTAAATGTACTGTGGGCGGTCCTTAAGCGGTTAAAGAAAATTTGTATTAAAGTGGATGTAAACCCTTACATATACTATGTGAAGTGATTGGCCTCAGGTGATACACAGAGATTAAACAATTCCTCCTACATAAGTTGTAACTGTTATCTGCAGGTTTATCTACAGTTTTCTCTTCTATACGTCCATTCAAAGTAGAGCTTGTGTCTCTCCCCTCCAATCAGCTCTCAGAGCTCTGCTCACTGATCTCTGCAGGAGGTGAAGTTACACTCTGCAGAGATCAGGGAGAGCTGATTGATGGGAAGAAACACACCCCCTCCACACAGCTGACAGGAAGAGAACTGAAGCTGTCAATCTGCTGGAGGTCTCTCCTCTGTCACCTTTGTTTCCCTTGGTGTCAGGAAAACGTGTCAGTGGCGATTCATGCTGATGGCAGAGGAACAAAGCAGCAGACTGAAAATACATTTAGTGCTCTGGACAAGTACACACTATAGAGGGATATGCTTTGTTCATATTTCATGTCTGAGGTTTACAACTACTTTAACCTCATGGCCTGGCTGTCATGCTGATCCAGTGCCTTCAGTACTTTGTGAGGTTGTAGCAATATGTAGATCAGAAGTTCTGATATCACTCTGACTTTATAAGCTTTCTAATCTGAATGCTGCTTCTGAGTCAGTGACTTAGCTTACCTTTAAAGTGTATGTAAATACAAAATCTATTTTTCAGTATGTTAGACATAATGTCTTATTATATACAGTTTTCTTAAGCAAGCTGTATCTAAAAAAATCCTGCCAGTAACGACACTTCCTGTTGCAGGCCGACAATGCTAATTCAGTGCCTAACATCTTGGCATCTATGTCAGCCTGCAGTGTGTGCTCCTTCTTTTGGCCTTTGAGCTATTTCTTAAGTCTATCAGAAAGGAAATCCAATGACCACCTAAAAAAAAAGCGCACAAGGTAGGATAACAATTCTGCTAATTGAGAATCATTAAAAACATACATTTGAAAATTAATTAAAAAAAGAATGTTGAGGTTCTTGGGACCACTTACCAATAAATAAATAAATGCAAAACTCACACTCTATCCATTGCTCTGTAACCCTAACCCAAACATATCCAATGTGTGACTGTACAGAGCTGTAGAGGATGGAGGGGATTAAGAATTGTGATTTCCTCACTCCAGTAATGTATATAAAAAAAAATAATATGGAATTTCCTTATTATGGCATATGGCATGGCAGAGCATGGCAGAGCAGGGAGCATTAATGCGTTCATCCTGCACATTGCTTCACTAGTGGCCCATGGGTAAGAGTAGGGATCCCACAGTCTGGGACAGAGCACAGGTCCCCAGAATGTATACCTATCTAATCTAAGCCATGCTCTTTCAAATCCCTAGAAGAGCATATTTTATGGGATTTTGCACATTAGTAAGTAGGCTATTTACACAATTGACAAATTATTTCAACTACATGAAGAGAGCCTTATTGCCCTTTGAAGGCTTAGAAAATGATCAGATGACCAAAAGCTCACCTTATATAAACTTCCAAGTATGCAGAGTAAATAAACGCTAGATGTTTTCTCTGACCGTGTAGACTGAGATCATTAATATCGTCTCCTCTTTGTATTTGGCAATGTGGCAATGGTGCACATTCTCTACTGAGCGCCGCCACAATCATTGAGTATAACAGAAGATCAGAACACAGACTTTCAACCGATCTCATGCAGAGGATATCACAGACACTCCCCACCCAAGTCATACAAAACCTAGCGCCACTTTGACCAGAAACTAATTAGTTTACTATGTTCTTAAGTCATGCAAGGAAATCAAATAACTCAAAAGCAGACTGTGTCCTTGGTCAAAATGAATCTCATAACCCCCATGTGACTCCCCAAATCTATCACATGCTACCATCATCTGGCTACTACCGGCAATACAGGTGTTTCTTGATATGGTCATCTCTCTGTCTAGTTTTTAAATGAAATATAAAAAAATGAACCAGGAAATATTAAGGGTAATTGCTATTACATCAGAACAACCAACTGTTTGGTCACACCCTAATAAAACACTCATGTATAACAGGTCATGTATATTAAGTGCAGAGAATGCTGCTCTTCTTTTTTACTGTACGAAAAAAATGTGTTTCCTGATTTCATGAAAAGCGGTTTTTTTCTCTCTTTGACTAGGATCTTTTTTTTGTCATGCAGAAGCCCAGCCCCCGTGAGAACTTTTTTTTTTGCACTTAGTGTGAAGGCTGTCAAGGTCCTAATATCTAAACAATGATGTGCCCATGGAAGCTGTTCATGAAATCTGGGAACAATAAGGATAAATTTGCACAGGATTCAACAGACCTAAACAACAATCTGTCAAAGGAGAGAAAAAACCATTGCAGGTAAAAAGAATTTTACAGTCCTATTTATTTGCTATGAGGCTTGTATGCAGTCATTGTGAAATTGGTATTGCTTTTACTGATACATTTTTTTACTGTTCTGATGAATTTCAGCAAAATGTAGTTTAGCTTGAAACTTGTTATGACACTTGAAACATGTTAGTTTTCTGAGAATTTTGTATGCTTTATAACAAACAGATAATGATGCATTAGAAGTGTCTTGGATAACATGCAGAACTTGTGAAACTGTAAATTTGACTTGTTTTAATGTATAATGTCAATGCACAATGCATCCATTTCTAAAACTGGTCACAGCTTTACTTCTTTAGTTCCCTACTTTAAACCTCTTTCTAAACTCATTATTTAATTTTTTAACTCTCTATTGTGAGAGATAGAACAGAGAGATTTTATTATTACAGGGCTTATTCAAAGTAAATTATACATTTTAAAAAACAAAGTAACAGATATGATAAAACACCCTGCCCTCACCCGCTGATGACTACATTCAGAATTTGTACATGGCGCAATGTTTATGATAATCCCAACCAGGGGCAGACTGACAACTCATGGGGCCCTCGGGCAATAAGGGATCATGGGGCCCTGTATCCTTGCCCAAACTGAAAGAGGCATCTCATGGGGCCCCCGTACTGACCCCGGGCCCTCAGGCAGTGCCCGAGTTTCCAAATGGTCAGTCTGCCCCTGATCCCAACACTCAGTTTGAATTGAGGTTTTAAGTTGTGAGGAGGACATTGTGTTGTGTGTT